AAGCTCTGATTATTAATTTCAAATTTTTCTTTTTTTTATAGAAATTTATAGTCTAAGATGAATTTAAGAATATTCAGAGTTTACCATTTCCAATCAATGAAATCATTATTGACACTATATATGTATATATATTTACTATTATACTAAAAATCTTCTAGCGAATAAGCGTTAGAAACTTAAAGTGTAATAATTCTTAATTGATTAGTCGTCAGCTTAGCAACTAAGTCACATGATTTAATAATTTCTAATAAATAATCACGTTTACTTGTACTAAATTTAATCAATTTGATTGGCTCAAAAGTTTTAATATTTTTAATTAATCAACAATTAACAATTTTTGGATCATTACGTACGTACGTACAATCATTTATGTGTAACATTATCTATGTGTAACTATATCAGAATTGTCGTCAATATAGATATATTCGCGAACATTCTGTAACATAATAAAAACTGTTTACATCGATTATATATATTGTATATATATATAGCTGCACTTTCACACTCTCAAATACTATATGAACATTATGAAAAATAATATGTTCAACTATGTTTACCTGTTAAATTAATATAAATAGAATAAGTGAATGCATAGTATAGCTTATCTTCAATTATCTTATCGTTGTGAAATTAATGGAAATTAAGAAGTAAGACGTAGTGTAGTCATACCTTAAGACATAACCGGATTAATATTTAAGATACCTGGTTAATTTACAGTTACTTAATAGATAATATAATACATATATGATGCCAAGAAAAAATAGGTCTTCAATTATATAATTGAAGTCCCATTTTTCCTTGGCATCATTTATATGATATTTAAATCAGATATATTAATCATGAAACAAGACAAAGCAGACGAGAATAATTTTCAAATACGTAGAAAAAAAAAAAGCAATTAACTGCATTTACTTATATGCTAAATAAATGTGAAGATTTCTTGCTTTATCAACAATCATTCCACTGATAGCCCATTTAGTCAACATCATAAGTTAGGGTTTCACTTGAAATAATTGTTGAAGTAGAAAGAACTGCTAATTATAGTACGATTGAAATTCTCCTTATAAGGCCCAAGCAAATGTCCCGAATTGGATTCTACTGTATAAAAAACTATATGTATAATCATTATTTATATAAAATAATGCAAATGCAAAAGGTAAAAATGCTTTATAGAAGTTTATATCTAGTTTTATAATTTGTTAAAAGTTCAGATGATTACTATAAAATATTACATGCCTAGAGGTTATTCAGTATTCAGATATAACCATTACCTTCTTACTTTGATAGGGTATAAATCTGGTTACTAGATTCTATAACCTTTTGGATAAAAAGTTAACTGGCTATAACCATTAACATAGTGATAAATATCTACGTATAAGCTTGTATAGTTTAATACATTAATTGATTAATGATCTCAATAATCTCCTGCTCAATTAATACAAATAAAATAAGTATAAAATAGAGCATTAAATAAAAAATAAATTCTCATTAATTTGAACACAGTACTTCTTTAACAATGGAATAAAACTAAGATAAAGTATAGTCATAGATATGCCTATCCTAAATACGTACTATATATATATATATACTCGCATATATTACTGGGAATCCTACTATATTAGGATTTTATATATCTAGTATGGATTTATTGTATGTACGTATGTACATATGTGTCTAGCTAATAGGATAAAATACCATATTAAAAACAGTATAAAGTTTATAAAGAGATACTGTTTAAAGATGGAAGTTATATTCGTAGATTTTCTGACTTATCTAAAATGTCTCTTCTAAACACTGAAAAGAATTTTAATGTAAGTTCCTTAGGCATATACAATAATACTGTATAAGTTTACTCTTAATGCAACAAATTCTTGGTATATAGTCAACTTTTTCTAAGTGCAAGGTTTCCTTTTTATTCTAATTATATAATTTTTACACTCTAAATATATACAAGATTTTATCCTTTTTTATATTAAACTTTTTAAAATTATAGCAAGTTGTACTCAGAAAGAGTTAACTATAACATAGATAAATTTTAAGCTAACTTATAGGAAATTACTAATAAACTTTTAATATATTATGATATAGTAATTTAAGTTAGCGAACAACCAAATATCCAGCTTTTCAAAGCATATTCAGCAATCTTGAATCAATATTTATTGTACTTTCACCAAAAATTAACAAATATGAACTTAAATTTTATATTTTATAATTAATATTGGGCCATGTATATATAAATTGCTTCTAATTAATAGCATATACTGTATAATAGAAACATACTATAAGATATTCTCTTTAAGGTTAAAAGGAGAAAAAAAAAAGTATATAATTTTCATTTAGTAAGCTTTCTATACGTATTAAAAAGATCTAACTAATAAATAGTAAATTTTACAGTTATCCAAAATTATAAAAAAAATTTACATAAAATATTGTATAAAGTAAGGGATGTGTCAGATATTAGCTGAGATTAGTTACTATCGAGCTTATTTCCCTCCTTCTTTCTGAGAAATTTAGTCATTCTAATTAGTTATATGTATATATTTAGACCTGAGATTTTGTCTACCTCCCTCTTACTACGATATCAGCTGATATCCGCCACTTCCCTAACCGGTGTATGCATTATAATTACATGACAGATATATAATTAAAGAATACTTGCAATATGTATGCGCGTAAAAATTGATTATCTTACAGATTCAACTTTTGCAGTTATAGATCATATTGATATCAATCATACAAAGGCTAATATAAAGGAACCCAACTTATATGAAGAAAAGAAATTTTCAAACTAGATTATTTGTGATTTATTTTTGGACAAATGGAGTAAAAGTAGAGGTTTTAAAATAATAAAAGATCACGTATTCAAAGATAGTGATATTGTTCAGAGAAGAAGCTATATTTGTGAACACAGAAAAAGATATGAATCAAAATCTAAGCAAAAAACATTTACTAAAAAAATTTCATGCCCTTGGCATTTAAATGTATCGTGTCCAAGTAATGACAGAGAAATTACTATTAATACAATTGTAAATGAATATAACCATAAGTTAAGTATAGAAAGTATTCAATTTCAGCAAGATAAAATTTTTAATCAAGATATATTAGATGATATTAAATTTATGACTGAATACTGTAACATGGGTGCCATAGCTCAAAGAAAATTTTTAGAAAGGAAATATCCCTTACAACCAATTTATAATAAGGACTTGTATGCCGCAATTCGTAAATTTAGATTTACCAAAGCTCTGTTAAATGATGCAGCAACAATGTCTAATTGGATTGATGAACAAAAAAAAAAGGATACTAGATAGATTGTTGCTAGAGATTGGGATGATGATAATATGCTAACATGCTTATTTTGGATAACTCCAAGTTAGGTTGAAAATTGAATTTAGTATAGTGATTGCATACTTAATGATGTAATGCATAAAACAAACAAGTAATAAAAGTATAATAAGTATATGTATATGTAATCATTATTTAGACTATTATTTTTAGTTATGATATGCGCAATTTTCTAAAAGCTATTTTCTCGCTAAAAATATGTACTATACCTGCAACTAATTAAATATTTACTCTAACCTTATATACTGTCGAATAAGTGGTCTGTAAAGAAAATAATTTTTAGGAAATTAGTGACATCTAATTTTTACCCATCATTATTTATTTACTTGATTGTTAAATTGTAATATATAGGTAACTATATAGTTAGTGATTATTTTTGAACTATTATTATTAATTTATGTGATTGCATACTTAATAACATAATATATACAGGTAATTTAAAGTAAAAGTATAATAGTAATTATTTGAATGATTGTTCTTATCTGTCATTATTATTATTTATTAACAGATATGGTATGGAGCTTTCTCTGTTTGTTGGATTTGATAATAACTGCCAAAATATATTACTCACTTAAGGATTATTAATTGACAAAACCTACGAATCACATGTGTGGTTATTTAATGAAATTGTTAAAGCAACCGGTATAGAACCTGCAGTTATACTAACTGATTCCAACCCTGCTGTTGACTCAGCTGTAAAGAAAATATTTAAATCAATGTACCCAATTCATTGTGCTTTTCATATAACCCAGAATCTTCACAAAAATCTTCAAAAGTCTCTAGATATACAATATAATCAATTTCTTATGGATTTCTATAAGTGCCAAAATAGTTTAGTGAAAACCACATTTAAAAACAAATTTACAAAATTAGGTCATGATTACCCAAGAGCTAAACCTTATTTAGACAACCTATATAAATCAAAAGAGTACTAGGCACATTCATATACAAGCTTTAAATTCACCGGAGGGATGATTGCAACATCAAGAGTAGAGGCTACAAACGCCTGTCTGAAAAAATTTTTATATAGTTCTAATATGTCACTCAATGAATTAATGCAAGAAATATATCACATGCTTGACCGCCAAAATAAAAAATCCGAATATCTATTTTGGAAACTTATGATTCCTTCAATCAAAAGTAATGACCAAGCAAACTTTTTATTTACACGTATAGACAAATGTTGTCAAACATATCTTACTCCAAATATGTTAAAAATGCAAAGGGATGAAATTAACTAATCAGTTTATTACTCAGCACAAACGATTAGTATGGAGAGTCTAAAAAGTATAAATAAGATAAAAAATAGATTAGTTATTTTTTACATATTATAAATTTAACAACCTATTTTTTTCTAGGATGACATTATGATTAATATTGAAGAAGAAAATCCTGAGGACCAGCATGCAACTATCCAACAAATGTTAGAAGTAGTTGGTGAAAAAAATATAGTTGAAGTATGGTTAATTAAAGTCATAAATGTATTAGCTACAAAACATTTTATTGTACTATTAAAAAACAATACACATTTTTGTTCATGTCTAACTATTATTCGACAAGGAATTATTTGTAGGCACTACTTTCAAGTAATGCTAAATACTAATACGACAAAGTTTCATATTCGTCTCATTCCATCTAGATGGTACTATAAAAATATGGATGCCTCAAAAGAAACATTTATTACGGCTAACAAATATGAAAGTGAAGAAGCATCTGATTATGATATTCTATATCTTTCTCCTTTTTATAATCAAGAAAAAGACTTTTTACAGGAAAATCTTAGTCTTCTTGAACAAAAATTAGTCTATGGAACATTACATAGTATTTATAAAAAGGCAATAAGTAAAGCGTTACAGTCTAAATCTGAGTCAGATCACCTTTTAAAGCTATTGGAGGATTTTGTTCAGGAGTGCAACCAATTAGAAGATAGTTCTAGCGATGATAATCACTCAGATGAATCTACAAGTAAAAGAGAGTTTCAACTAAAAAACTCTAAGTGGCGACAAGGCAGAGAATGACCTCCAGGTACCAAGAAAATTAAAGCATCACATGAAAATCCTGGCACTACCAAAAAAAAAAGAACTTGCAAAAAATGTGGTGGTATTGGACACTATCAAAAAAATTGTACAGTTGGTACTTAAAAATTTTTACTTTTTTCTATATTATTGTTGAAGGTATAATAGATAGATAATTCTACTAAGACAATGGTAAAGAAAATTACTTGAATTTTTAGGTCTATAATAATTAAAAGCAAAGATTTTAATAATGTAAGTTATCTATTTACTATTAGTCTTTATTACTTTTAGTATAAGTGCGGTCATTGATCTTTAGTACTAATTATTGTATAGTCTATAAACTTGTTACATTCTAATTAATATTTAACAGAAATAGCCATTCACTGAGGTATTACTATAACTTACTGCAAATTTGTTAGCAAGAATTATTGACGTTTATTACTTAAACATTAATAAACTTTTCTATTACGTTTCACACTTTACTTAACTAGAACTCAATCATCATATTTTTTTGTTTCTTAAATGTTATTTTGTGTCTCCTCAATTATATTATCATTCAATTTACAAATTAATATAATGTATGCTAAAGAATAGTAATTAAATGATGGATATAATAATTCTTTGTATACATTAAACAATTACAAATAAATAGAACTATAAATAAGTAATTCTTATTAGCAAATATACTATACATTTTATTTACGCCAAATCAATTTAATTCTCTATTCAATATAACTTTCTCTTACAAATCACCTCATATTATGTCAAACAAAAGTCGAGTTGGTTTAGACTAGAGATGTACCATCACGCACTTATCAGTACAAGGTATTAATTGTTACATAGCTAATGATATGAAAATCGCAACGAATATCAATAATTATCCAAGTTGTGCTGATTAACACCTCGCATTGATAAAGTGCATGATGGCACATTTCTAGTTTAGATATTAAAGTAAAATATATACTTTTGCTAATTATTCTCTAAATTATTTTATTATTATATATTTTAACTGCTCTGAGTTAGAGCTAAAATTTTTCAGATATCCATTGTGGCTATTATCTGAATATTCACAGATTTTAGTGCGAATGATAATGAATAAATATCTAGATTATATGTGGAAATCTGTGGATATTCATTAAATATTATATTATATAATTCAGCTATGTTCTGACTACATTCTAAGCAAATATTCACAACTATAATATTTCAATTTTCAACTTATAAAAGCAATCAAAAAATAATACAAATAGACATAAATTAAATTTTAAAGTATGTTTATTAAAGATGCAATGATATTACAGTACTTTAAAACTCCAAACTGTCCTGATTTCATCCTAGCTGTCCCTTTTTACAATAAACAGCCACATAAAATGCCTAATTTAATAAGAAATCACAAAAAAGACAAATAAAAATGAAATACAAGTTGACAATTACTATAAAATATACTTAACTATGACCCAAGATACAGTGGCACTATTTTTAATATTATAACTGGGAGTTCTAGAAGCAAATTCGGGCCTTATTCTAATGCAACCATCAAAAGTTCTTTGTCCACTTGACATACACTATTGACTATAATACTTAGATTTTTGGCTTGATAAAATTTCTGGGGTGACATAAGGTATAACTCTATAAATATTGCTTGAATTAGTTATTCCCTTTAGATAATTCCAGGTTTGCAAGATATTACCATTGTGAAAGTTTACATGAATTATAAATATTATAGCTTTAATTTAGCCTGCTAATTAAGATCCTGAAAATTTACTCCTAAAACTTACGAAGATTCCACTATTAGTATATTGAAATATCATCATATATTACCATTTAACCAGTAGTTATCATTGCAAAACATACGATTCTCAAAAGACAATATGTTAATATGTGGTATAATAATTAAATAAATCTGAAAAATGTATATCAAAGGACACACCTGTTATCCCAGCGAACATAATGCAATTGTTATGATGAAAGTTAATAAAGTTAATCTTGAGATGTGGATGCCCATTCGATCAGTAAAAAGCCATTGATGAAAGTTTGATGATAATATAGATGATATAAGATTGGGTGATCAGTTTAAAGGAGCGATGATAGTACGAATTTGGAAAAGGTGTAATTAACAATGATAAGGTAATTTAATTGTGATATACAAAATAGACAGTGATAGAGAAAATGAGAATAATAAAAAAAAGAAATGATAGTTAGTAAAAGAGGCATTGATAGAATGTGTCAGGCAAATGACAAAAAAAAATTAAATTTATCTATGTTAAATAAAAGAATAACCTAAAAAATTTCATGATCTGTTTATCGGAGAAGCCACCATAGAATTTTGAATCTATTACCCTTAATAATTACGTGGTTAGAAGAATTCGCCAAGATATCAAGATCGCGAGAAAAAAATCATATTTCTTAAACAACCAAGTTCACTAATAATTTCATGCTTATTATAACTAAAAAAATACACTATTGTAATCTAAAATATTATACCTTCATTCCTAAGAAAGTTTCATTTGTTAAGTTACTATAGAACTTAAAATCTATTATCCATAAAGTTTTTAAAGTGCAAAATTATGTGGTTAGAAGAAATTCACCAATTATACAATCTTACATAATTAAGAAAACACATTACTATAATTTAACCTATAATCCAAGTTTCAATCACCTATTTAATGCTATAGCACCAAGTCGGTACTCTTGAGGGAATAAAGAACTAATAAATATCCTTAGAGTAGCAAAGCACAAGTCTCGAATGCCTATTTAATATCATATCGCCAATCCGGTACTCTTGAGGAAACAGAGTATGAAAGAATGAATAAATATTCTTAGAATAGCGAAGTACAAGTCTCAAGCACTTATTTAATACCATAGCGCCAATCTGGTACTCTTGAGAATCTTTAGAATAGCAAGGCATAAAGCTCGATCTTTCATTTAATACCACAGCATAAAAGCCAAAAGTCTAAGATATTGAATGAAAGTTCTGTATTTTGAAGCATATTTATTAAGACATAAAAGTTTAATTGAATAAAGTAATGAATCTTAAGTAGCGAAGAGGTAAATCTAGATTCTAATAGCAGGGAAGCAAAAACAAATAAGTATCAACAAATAAACAAACAGTCACATATGTACTATATGAACGGTACAAATGGTACAAAAGGCATGGTTGGTACGGCAGTATGAATGAGCAATCAATATTAGATTTCATATCCTCGCAATTTCATTGGCTAATCATAGACTGGCGATATATCACACTAGCGATGAATAATAATTCTCTTTTTTTTATATTCTTTAAGTTATTTCAATTTTTATAGAAAAATTTTAAACTTATTAAATATTATACAAGTATATCTGTGAAATTATATAATAGTTTACTTTATAGAAATATATATATATAAGTGTAGTGATTTAGTGAAATAGTGGAGTTGTTGCACTCCCAGACAGCAGGTTTAAAGTTCAAATCTCATGAATGACATTTTCAAAAAATAGCTCTGTAATATAGTTAATGGCTATTCAATGATCAGTAGAATCTAGAAATCTGTAATCTCAGTTATACTATCTAGAATGGAAGCTCTGGCATAATAAATCTGAAATACTGAAATAACCAAAGACCTGTTTGGCAAGTTTTAAGTTGAGAAGTAGCACAATCTTCAACAGTACTACAGGAAAACTAAATTTGAAATTGAGGGCTAATATTGAAGAACTGAGTAACTAGGTTCTTAAGTGGGGGGCATACCAGCCAAACCACTAGGTCGCCAAACTAAAGGAAAAGGACATGTGCTCTGAAAGCATGTACCAAGGAAAGAAAAACTATATAGACACCTAAAGTCTAGATAGACCAACTCTTTTGGGTTGCTAGCTGGAAGAAAAGAGAAACTAGTAAAGAATTCAAAGAAGAAAGAAATTTAAATATGTATACTAGGATTGTATAAACCCAAATACAAAAGCAAGAAATATATAATAATCACTAAAATAAAAAGGTTGTAGTTTGAGATACAGATTGGGTTATAGTAGTATTCTAAAAGATAGCTTGAGATACAAACTTAGTAATGGCAATACAACAGATACTAGATTAAGAAAAAGTTACTGAACATGCAGGTAAATATATATATAAGATATGTACTGCTCTGTTAGGTTTATCTCAAGAATAAAGTAGTTATAGATAGGATATGAAATCTATCCCTTAAATTGTAACACAGGCAATTTTGCCTGTATTTTTATTAAAAAGTTTAATTTTTTTAATAAAAACTTATATATTAATTTTAGCTATATATTTTCTAAGTAAA